GTTGTTGTTGTTGTTGTTGTTGTTGTTGTTGAGTCAGCAGCAAGAGGGAACTTCGGATATTGATTCTGGTCCATCCACTCATTGTTATTATTATTATTTGGAAGAAGAATAAGATTGGAGAGGTTAAGGAGGAGGAGGAAGGTGGAGAGAGAAGGGGGGATTTGTCATTGGTCTTGCTGGTGTACATCTTCTTCTTCTTCTTCTTCTTCTGCATCTTCTTCTTCTTCTTCTTCTTCCTCTTCTTTCCCTCTTCTTTGGTCTCTATCGCTTTGCAAGTACTTTCATTTCTTTCGCGATTGGGTGGCATTGTCTTTCACTGTGAATTTGCACTTTGGGAATGACCAGGATCGTAACACAAGAATTATGGGGCACAACAGCCACAGTGGGCGAGGTATAGCATATAGTGGGTCTCTTTCTTCAGGCGTGTCTGCAGCTGAGTAATCATATTTTTATGTGTCTTGCTCTCTGTCAAGGACCATCATGCACTGTTTCCTGGTGCATCCGCAAGTGAGTGTTGGCTAATATCATGGCAACTTTATCTTCACGTGTCTTGGGGGAAGTCATCACATGTGGCAAGCGAGCAGTCATACTGGGTGCCATTCTTTGCCTGTGTAATGACCCGCCAAAACACAGACTGAGAACATTGCTGATTTATGGGATTTGCTGCTGGAATGAATGCCTTGTTGAAATTCCCGCATTCTGCTGTGAGTTCCATGTCTGTGTGTGTGTGCGTGCCTGCTGGTTTGCATNGCTGGAATGAATGCCTTGTTGAAATTCCCGCATTCTGCTGTGAGTTCCATGTCTGTGTGTGTGTGCGTGCCTGCTGGTTTGCATGCCTGTCTGAGTGCTTGTCGGTTGAGTGTGTGTGTGACCCGCAAGGGTTCTTGTTGGTTGCAAGGCCCTGCAGGGCCGGTACTTACCTGTGGCCGTGACTGTGATGGGTTGCAGGGGGAAAACACTCGAGTAGCGGGGGTAGGCCCGCGACACTTAGAGCAGAGGGGAAAAACACTCGAGTAGCAGGTAGGCCGATACCACTGAAGTAGTGGTAGAAGTGTCGGGTACTGGAGGCCGAGCAGAAGAAGACAAAGAGTTGGCATTTTTTAGAGGCCCAGTAGCGGTAGGATAGCGGTAGGCCGGTACCAGTCCAAGTAGCCCGGGTCTAGGGCCTGTGCGGAGGATAGCAGAACCTGCAATGATGTTTCCCTCCGAAAGGGAGGAGGTACCGGTTGCTGGGAGGCTGCTCGGCCTAGGAAGTCACCGCCCAGGAGGCTGGTAGGCCGCTATATCTCCAGGAAGAGCAAAAAGCTCTTCCTCATTTGCGGTGTGCAAGGATTGGCGACATGCTGCTGGAGCGCAGCACTGGGCTGGTGCAGCGCTGCTTGGAGGTGAAGGGCCGCTGGAGCTCAACCTGGCTATGGCGAGCAGTCCAGCTTGAGGAGGAGGAAGAAGGGGGCATGGTAGGAGAGTGGCGGGGCACCCACCTGGCTATGAAAGACACCATCTTCATCACCTTCTTGGGCGCTGCATCTGGAAGGCCCCAGTTGGGGTAGTGCGGCACCAGGGAAGCTCGAGGCAGAGTTAGGCATAGCGGACCAAGTCAGCAGCGGCATAGCTGCTCTGCGTTGTCCTTTGGACATCAGCGCAACACCATAGCTGCTTGGGTTGTCCTTTGGACACCAGCGCACCACCCTAGCTGCTTGGAGTAGTCCGCCATAGCCTATGCATGAGAGAGGAGGCTGAAGGAGGGAAGCCATAGCTATGGTGGACTGGTTGTTGTTGTTGTTGTTGTTCTTGAGTTGAGTCAGCAGTAAGAGGGAACTTCGGATATTGATTCTGGTTCATCCATTCTTTGTTATTATTATTATTGAGGGAAGAATAAGATTGGTGAAGTGAAGGAGGAGGAGGAAGGTGGAGAGAGAAGGGGGAATCGTCATTGGTCTTGCTGGTGTACTTCTTCTTCTTCTTCTTCTTCTTCTTTCTCTCTCCTCTGGTCTTTATCTCTTTGCAAGTGCTTTCATTTGTTTTGCAATTGGGTGGCATTGTCTTTCATTGTGAATTTGCACTTGGGAAATGACCAGGATTGTAACAATTGGTATCAGAGCGGACTTACTTGCTGGCGAGAGGTGTTAGTCACCCTAAACCTAATTCCGAATTAGGTCAGGGCTAACCTAATTTCGGATTAGGGTTGGAAGTTAGGGTTAAGTGGGGCAGTGAGGTATGTGGATACTGCCCCTAACTGGTTAGGTCATGTAGGGTCAACATTTGACCTGACCAGGTTGACTGTGTGAATGGATGGGGTGGCGAGACACAAAGGAGGCTGATTGGAGTAAGCGAGAGGGAGTAGAGAGTGAGAGGTACTCGCACCTGGAATCTCCACTTCAAGAAGACATTGAGTGACTTTTGGGCTTCCCCTCAAGAGGGAGACTTGATCGGAGGCTGCCATATCTGCATCGAAGAGCTGCAAGTTGCTACTTTGGTCTTCAGACATCGACGGGGGATTCGGCTTTGCAACTGGGGTGTAGGAAGGCCCTCTTAGTCATGCTAGGACACTTCGTGTAGTGGCAGTTAGGGGTCAGGAGGACTTATGAGAGAGGGGGGTGACTCGTTATCCATCTTTGGAGGCCGGGTCTCACAGGTAAGTGTCGTGTGACCTGGTTATGCCCGTGGGAGGTTGCTTGGTACTTCATGGCCTGTTGGGGGTGTGTTGGGCTCTCTTCCTCTTCTCTGCGGTCTTGGTTGTGTGTGTGAGCATGTGGATTGCTCTCTCACCTGATGGATGGATGGATGATATATCTATTCTAGATGACATATCTTTCTACGGTGCATTGTCTTTTCATTTCTGAACGGCTGTAGGGGTGCGTTCTTGCTGAAAGTTGTCTTTTCCTTTTCAGTACGGTAGAGGCGGTTTGGGACCGACTTGGTACCCCTATCACGTTGGTCCTGGTCCACGACCTACTTAGGACCCCTCGGGACCAAGTGGGACCAAGTCCAACGGGACAGAACCTTTTGGGCCCAGATCCGTTGCCGCCAGTGCATTTCTTTGCTGTGCTGAACTTGGGGGACATACGGATAGCAAGGGCATTCCTTTCAAGGGGATCTTGACTGGCCTTACCGCATGTTAGCACATACTGTCCCGCGTCTGGCTCGACGACCGTCTGCACCCCTCGAAATCTCCATTGCTGCAGTTAGCTTTCTTCGGCTGATTTATTGTGATACATGTCGCTTGTCAGGTTAGACAAGAGGGTATCCCCAGCTAATCTGATCGGGCCCGTTCTATAAGTCAGTCCTCTCTTTTGTTTTATTTTTTTATTTTATTTATTTATTCTTTTATTCCGCTGCGTGCCATTCTCTAAGTCCAAATGAATCGCCGCTCCGGCTAGGAGTTCTACCTTCTTCTCTGTGTGATTTCCTGCTTGTTTCTTTCATATGAACTATCTATGTCCGGTATCGAGACGCGTGCGCAGACAGCTGAGAGAGAGAGAAGGGAGAGAGAAGGTGTTCTGTTTGAGAGTGTGAGGAGGGGCAAGAGGAGTGTTCGTCCAAACGTAAGGAGAGAGCGGACCCCTCTTGAGAGATATACTGACACCCCTTCCTCCGGCATGGCAAACATCACATCTGCCCAATGGCAGGCCATGCTGGATGCAGCAGATGAGCGCGAGAGACCGTTCTTCCAGAAACTTTATGATGATGCCGTGCAGAGGGAAAGGGAGGCAGAGGCAGCAGCCAGAGCTTCCAACATTGCTTATCAGGTGGCTCTCCTTCGGGTCCTGGAAGCCAATGCTGACCGGTTCCAGGAGGGACTAGCTGCTGCCGTAGTAGCCTTGGTTCGACTGCGGACCTTGGAAAACCTTGAGTCCCGTGTGACAACACTTGAGCAGCGGAACCAAGAGCTGCAGGCTGAGATAATCAGCCCCAAACAGTCCCAACTGTCTGCCCCCCGCCCTCCTAACCCTCCACCTGCTGTAGTCCCAGCCTCTCAATCTAACATAGTCCTCGTGGCAAGAACAAGTGGAACTGTGACGAGCGCAGGAACCGGTGCCAGCTCCTCGAGCGGCAGCGCCGGCAGCTCTGCACTAGTCATAGTCCCAAATGCAGGGACATCAGCCCAAAACGCACTAGTCCTTACTGGCGTTCAGTACAGCGGTCCCGTAGTGGACAAGCGGGCGGCCACCTTGCCGTCCAAGTATGACGGGAAAGCGGACATCACCTCTTGGATTAGTTCCATGCGGTCATACTTCGAGGTCATGCGGACACCGCAAGAAGACCGAAGTATGATCATGGGAACTAATTATGAGCCCGCCGTACGGAATCACATTGAGCTCCAAGTTGTTGCTGTAGGTTATGAACGAATTGACCTGACTGAGTGGCTGAAGGTAACCCCTGTACGCACCCTTGAGGACCTTCTCCTCGCACGATACCAAGACAAGCATGTTGCACTCAAGGCTAGGCTGAAGCTTGAGGCCCTCAAGGGTCAAACATGGAGGTCCTCCATGCAAGCTTTGGAACAGCACTTGACTGGTCTGTTCACTACTCCAGATCTGGGAATGACTGATGTGTCTTGTATGGATGTAGTTATGGGAGTGGCCCCTAAAGAATACCTCTCCCTGTTGGCACTCAAAGACCATACCACCTGGCGAGAGCTCATGACGGATCTAGTCAACCTAGAAGCCAAGGACCTCGCCAGGCGGAAGAAGGCGCCCGCTGCAGGTGGGAAACCACAACGCAAGCGGTTTGGAAGCAGCAACCAGCTTGCACTGCATGATCATCGGGAGGCTGAAGATCAGTCCTATGCGGATGATCTGTCTCTAGATGACGATCTAGAGTCGGACTCCGATATGGGCTTCAAACAAGGGCCCCAACCGTGGTTCGGGTAAGGGAACTGTTGTCCACCTCCCCAAGAATGCAATGATCCCTGAGAAACCGGAGGATGCATCTACCAAGCCTTGGGAAGCCCTCCGTATCAGTCAGAAAGAATGGGAAAGAAGATCTAAATTGCGCATATGCCTGCAATGTCAAAAGCCTGGGCATGTTGTGCAGGACTGTTTTCGACTGCAGGGAAACAAGCAAAGGGCGTAGAGGAGTCCTCAGCACTCCCTACAACAAGGGAAGCTGGAACATCAGTTGCAGGCCCCATTGATGAGCCTGAATTTGATCAGCAGCCCACTCTTGAAGCTCGGAACGACGCTGAATCCAAGGCTGCTGCAATTCATGTGCTTTACACTGAGCCTTGGGAGGAGTCTAAGGAAGTTGACTTCCACGCTCACATGGAACATTGGCTGCAGTTCAAGCAGCAACGCCGTGTTCAAGGGAGTGTGGAGCTAACATTCTTTAAACTGCTCATTAACCGCCGTTACATCCGCGTGCTGATTGATAGTGGTTCAACCACTAATTTCTTCTCTCCTAACGGGATTCGTAAGGCGGGCCTAGGAATGAAGCAAGTGGAATTGCAGAACCCTTGTCAGACCCAGGTGGGCAACCAAGAGGTTGTCACCTCTACACATGCTGTCAAAGGTGTACGCGTCACCTTTGACAAGGACCGCACTGTCACACATGAGCTCAACTTCTATGTCATGGACAAGTGCCTGTTCGACGCGGTCATTGGCTTGGGCTGGTTAAAGGGTCATTGCCTAAGGACCACGTGGGCGGACAATCAGTTCATGGTGCGTGATGCCAAGGGGAATGAGCGTACTGTCCTATTGGATGAGACGCGCGAGTCCCCTGTGACTCTTCTAAGTGCAACCAAATTCTGCAAATCAGTGCGCAGGCGCAAGGAAATTGAGCATGTACATGTAGCTTTTGTAAAGCCTCTCCATGTGCCTTCTACTTTTGCTGCGTTTTCTACCTCAGTAAGTAACTCTACTTCTACCACCTCTGCTTCTAATCCATCTACTCCTACTGTGAATAATCCTTCTACTTCTAATCCGGTTGTAATTGCTGTAAATTCTCAGTCTAATTTTCTTTCTGCTGATGAGGATGATCCTCCACCGGAAGTCCCAACAAACATTCGCCAACTATTAGATCGATTCCCTGAAGTTTTGGCCGAACCTCGTGGAGTTCCCGAGCGTCCGTTTCAAACACAAGATCGAGATAATAGAAGGGAGTGTTCCTCCAAAGGGCTGCGTCTACCGTATGGGACAAGGCGAGCCGGAGGAGTTGAGGAGGCAGATTGATGACATGATCGATCGTGGATGGATCAGGCCTAGTGAGTCCAAGTTCGGTGCACCTGTCCTGTTTGTGCCAAAGAAAGGAGGCAAACTCCGGATGTACGTTGACTATCGTGGCCTAAACCGTATCACCCGAAAGAACGCGTATCCCTTGCCTCGTATAGATGATTTGCTAGATGTTGCAGGTGGGTGCAAGGTCTTCTCCAAGATCGACCTCAAGTCTGGCTACGACCAGATTGAAGTTGATCCGAGTGACCAGCACAAAACTGCATTCAAAACACGCGATGGGATATACAAATTCATCGTTATGCCCTTCGGTCTTACGAATGCGCCAGCCACATTTCAGAGCCTCATGGACAAGGTACTCCGCCACCAGCTTAACAGGTTTGTGGTTGTGTACCTTGATGATATTCTGATTTTCAGCAAGTCCATGGAAGAGCACCTTGAGGAGGTCTTGCAGTTCCTCAAGGAGGCACAACTGCACCTCAACTTAGAGAAATCTGAGATCGGAAGGGACAGCGTCATCTATCTTGGGCACCGGTTGTCTGCAAACGGCCTTGAGCCGGAGACAACCAAGGTGGAGGTCGTACGAAATTGGCCTCAACCAGCGAACGTACGCGAACTGCGTTCTTTCCTTGGTTTGGCTTCGTACTACCGGAAGTTTAGGCCAAAATTTTTTGTCATTGCTCACCCACTCTCAAGACTAACCAGTAAGAATGTTGCCTACTGCGTTCCAAGCCTTAAAAGAGGCATTGGTGAGTCATCCTGTGCTCCGCATTGCGGATCCCAACCTCACATTCGTGGTCACTACGGATGCGAGCCAGTTTGGGATTGGTGCAGTGTTGCAACAAGATGATGGTGATGGACTGCGTCCGCCCGAATATTATAGCAAACGCATGCCCAACCACAAGGTAGCTACCTCCACATATATGCGTGAGCTCTACGCCTTGTGCGAGGTGCTCACACATTGGAAGCACTACCTCTTGGGTCGGCACTTCAAGGTCTACTCAGATCATCAGACCTTGCAGTGGATTAAGACACAAACTGATCTCTCTCCTACGCTGACCCGCTGGTTGCATGACATTGATGTGTACAATTTTGAATTGAGACATAAGAAAGGCTGTTATAATCGCGTTGCTGATGCTTTGTCGCGTCACCCTGAGTTTTCGACTTGCCTTGTGGGTTCGTATGACCTCCGAAGGAAACTGAAGGAGGATCTGGTCGAACACACCGCCAAGGATCCGGACCTTAGTCCCATCCTTGAGCAGCTCAAGGCTGACCCTAACAGTCAGCCTGATTTTCATGAGTGCGAGGGTCTTGTATTCCGCCGGTATGGGAAGTTCGACCGTTTGTGTGTACCCAACCATGCGCCTCTCCGAACTCATTTCTTGGATCTGGCACATGGTCGGAGTGGACATTTCGGCTTTGAGAAGACTTATGGAAGTCATCTGCAACAGTTTGATTGGTCAGGAATGAAAGGATCTGCTCATAAATTTATTGTTGAATGTCAGGTATGTCAAAGAACCAAGGTCCACATGCATAAGCCTTATGGCCTGCTGAGACCCCTCCCCATTCCTGATGGACCCGGTGAGTCGATTTCCATCGACTTCACGGACATGGGAAAGGTGAGTGAGGCTGGAAATTCACAAGTCATGGTCATCGTGGACCGTTTTTCCAAATTTCTGAACTTGATTCCTTTCCCTCCCAATGCCCCGACTGAACTTGTCATTGAAGAATTCCATCAGCAGTACATTCTGCAGTTTGTCCCGAAAACTATTGTGAGTGATCGGGACACCAGATTCATCAGCAAAGATTGGAAAGATTTCACCTCTCAAATCTATGACATTAAACTGAACAGGACTTCTGGTCGACACCCCGAAGCCAATGGATTGGCCGAGGAGATCAACCAGACTGTCATCCAACTACTWCGCGCATTGATTGTTCCAGATCAGAACACGTGGAACAAGGCGCTGCACAAAGTGAAGGGGCTGTATAACAACTTCATTCACTCTGCAACTGGCGTGACACCAAACCAGTTGCAATATGGATGGCCGATGCGTAATCCCCTCTCCTATTTGTTCCCTGAACGGTCACCTGGTCTGATGCCCGGCATGCCTGGCTACAATGCCAAGTACGCACACTTGCTCAAAGTTGTTATTGCGGCCATGAACAAACGCCAGCATGCCATGATCAAACATGCTAACAAGTTGCGCAAAGAAGAAAAATTCAAAGTAGGGGATTCTGTTTGGGTTAAAATGTCTGAGTTTTCTGATGAAGAGGGCATATCACGAAAACTCCTTCCATTGTACTATGGCCCTTGGCAGATTCTGAAGGTGATTGGGGATGATTTTGGTCCTTCATATGTGATTGACGTGCCTCCTCATCTGCGCACGTATCCGGTCTTTCATGCGTCCAAACGGTTTCCACATATTGATGATGAGACGTTTCCCTTCCGAGACCCTATGATACCTCGCCCTATCGACGACGGCCATGAGATAGACATAATTGTTTCTCACGAGGGAAGAGGGAGGAACAAACAGTACAAGGTTCACTTCCTCTATCACCCGTTGACTGAATTCTTCTGGATCGACCGAATATAGCTGCTAAAGAGTGCTCCCCGTGTTGTGAACGCTTATGAACGACAGATAGCTGAGGGACAGACTGCTGAATTTGTTGCAAAAATGACTCCTCACGGACTTACTAAGTCTCTCTTTCTGATTTACTCCTACGATGCATTTTGTGCCAACTGTGAATGAGTTACTCGCTCGAAGGGACCTCGCTCTTGAGAGGGGGGTAATGTAATGACCCGCCAAAACACAGACTGAGAACACTGCTGATTTCTGGGATTTGCTGCTGGAATGAATGCCTTGTTGAAATTCCCGCATTCTGCTGTGAGTTCCATGTCTGTGTGTGTGTGCGTGCCTGCTGGTTTGCATNGCTGCTGGAATGAATGCCTTGTTGAAATTCCCGCATTCTGCTGTGAGTTCCATGTCTGTGTGTGTGTGCGTGCCTGCTGGTTTGCATGCCTGTCTAAGTGCTTGTCGGTTGAGTGTGTGTGTGACCCGCAAGGGTACTTGTTGGTTGCAAGGCCCCGCAGGGCTGGTACTTACCTGTGGCCGTGACTGTGAAGGGTTGCAGGGGGAAAACACTCGAGTAGCGGGGGTAGGCCCACGACACTTAGAGCAGAGGGGAAAAACACTCAAGTAGCAGGTAGGCCGGTACCACTGAAGTAGTGGTAGAAGTGTCGGGTACTGGAGGCCGAGCAGAAGAAGACAAAAAGTTGGCATTTTTTAGAGGCCCAGTAGCGGTAGGATAGCGGTAGGCCGGTACCAGTCCAAGTAGCCTGGGTCTAGGGCCTGTGCGGAGGATAGCCGAGCCTGCAATGATGTTTCCCTCTGAAAGGGAGGAGGTACTGGTTGCTGGGAGGCCGCTCGGCCTAGGAAGTCACCGCCCAGGAGGCCGGTAGGCCGCTATATCTCCAGGAAGAGCAAAGAGCTCTTCCTCATTTGCGGTGTGCAAGGATTGGCGACATGCTGCTGGAGCGCAGGGCTGGGCTGGTGCAGCGCTGCTTGGAGGTGAAGAGCTGCTGGAGCTCAGCCTGGCTATGGCGAGCAGTCCAGCTTGAGGAGGAGGAAGAAGGGGGCATGGTAGGAGAGTGGCGGGGCACTTACCTGGCTATGGAAGACACCATTTTCATCACCTTGTTGGGCGCTGCAGCTGGAAGGCCCCAGTTGGGGTAGTGCGGCACCAGGGAAGCTCGAGGCAGAGTCACGCATAGCGGACCAAGTCAGCAGCGTCATAGCTGCTCTGCGTTGTCCTTTGGGCATCAGCGCTGCACCATAGCTGCTTGGGTTGTCCTTTGGACATCAGCGCAGCACCCTAGCTGCTTGGAGTAGTCCGCCATAGCCTATGCATGAGAGAGGAGGCTGAAGGAGGGAAGCCATAGCTATGGTGGACTAGTTGTTGTTGTTGTTGTTGTTGTTGTTGTTGTTGTTGTTGTTGTTGAGTTGAGTCAGCAGTAAGAGGGAACTTCTGATATTGATTCTGATTCATCCATTCTTTGTTATTATTATTATTGAGGGAAGAATAAGATTGGTGAAGTGAAGGAGGAGGAGGAAGGTGGAGAGCGAAGGGGGAATAGTCATTGGTCTTGCTGGTGTACTTCTTCTTCTTCTTCTTCTTCTTCTTCTTCTTCTTCTTCTTCTTCTTCTTCTTCTTCTTCTTCTTCTTCTTCTTCTTCTTCTTCTTTCTCTCTCCTCTGGTCTTTATCTCTTTGCAAGTGCTTTCATTTCTTTCGCAATTGGGCGGCATTGTCTTTCATTGTGAATTTGCACTTGGGAAATGACCAGGATCGTAACACCTGTGGAGAGGCAACAAGTGATAATGGGCATGACTTTTTCCAAGATGATGATGATCATCATCATATAACAATCATCTATTGCAATCTGTTTTGCTGGGGTGACGCTCTGGAGGTGGATCTTTTTGTGAAGCGTTGTGTTTTGCAGTGCAAGGAACCATCCACTGGCAACACCAAATTGTTTCCCAGATCCAAAGCACACCAAATTCAGA